CTAAGTGCTCTTAGTAAGCATGGTGAACTGACAAAAGTTGGCAGAAGAATGGCTGAGTTCCCTCTTGACCCTATGCTCTCGAAGATGATTGTTGCTTCTGAAAAGTATAAATGCTCTGATGAGATCATAAGTATTGCAGCAATGCTTTCTATTGGAAATTCGATCTTTTATCGTCCAAAGGACAAACAAGTCCATGCTGACAATGCACGATTGAATTTCCATATGGGTAATGTTGGAGATCATGTTGCATTACTGAAGGTTTACAATTCCTGGAAGGAAACTAACTTTTCAACCCAGTGGTGCTATGAAAACTACATACAGGTCAGAAGCATGAAGAGAGCTAGAGACATCAGAGATCAATTAGAGGGCCTTCTAGAAAGAGTAGAAATTGAGTTGACTTCAAATCTCAATGATCTAGATGCTATAAAGAAGTCTATAACATCTGGGTTCTTTCCTCACTCAGCAAGGCTTCAAAAAAATGGATCCTATCGAACCGTGAAGCTTCCCTTGACTGTTCACATCCATCCCAGCTCTGGTCTAGCGCAGGTTCTTCCTAGATGGGTTGTCTATCATGAGCTTGTTCATACCACCAAAGAGTACATGCGACAGGTCACAGAACTAAAGCCTGAATGGCTGGTAGAAATAGCTCCTCACTACTATCAGTTGAAGGACGTTGAAGACCATGGCTCAAAGAAAATGCCTAGAGGAGAGGGCCGAGCATCTTAGTCCAGTCCGGATTATGGGTAACCTCAAGCAATTCTTTTGTTCAACTAAATCTGGCGCGCATCAAATTTAGTAGTGACATGTTTTCGGTTCTTTCATTTTTTGTTTTGTCTAATATTTCCTGTTTTGTACATAATTGATAATGGTAGTAAAGAAGTAATGTAACTTCAGTCTCTTAAGGTATGCCAATTTCGATTATCAAAAGTGTTTGATTACAGGTGTATCCCTTTATCCCAACCATGACCCACCCGAGGATATGCTTAGCTTAACAGGTATTGTAAGATGACCTTGGTAATATTTTGTCTATTTCAGTGTTGAATATATATATCTCCCCAATTATATAGGGGCTATTACATTTGCCTAGGCAATTGCAATTTGTTCCCTCTCTTTGTCTTTGCACTTTTACCCTTCAGTTCTTGAACACTGGATTTTGATGCAGGATTGAACTTTCTTCCCCCCTCTCATGATCTTTTTTCGAAGTTCGCTAAGTTTTGGTTTTTACCCCTTATTTCAAGTACTCCGTATGATGGAGCAAGAGGCAAGTTCTGGTACATACAAACTTCTTTTGTGGTTACTTTTTTTTTTTTTTTTTGGAAATATGATTGTAAGCCTCTAGTGGCTAGCGAGGTTAATTGTTCACTTGCTCAAAGGGAACTGATTTGACCATGAGAAAAAAGAAAATGAAAAAAGCAAAGTGTTCACATTATCATCTTCTATTCAAATTACCAATGTTGAAGACTTACTATTCAGTCATAGGGTTATCAAGTTTAGCAATTTTCCACTTCTTGGTTAATGTTGGTTTTGGTTTGCTTTTAGGGTTTATCCTTTTTTTGATATACAGATTTATTTATGGTTTTAAAACATTTACAATATCCTTCTTTTTTAAAATTTGAATGTAGCTTCCAGTGTGAGGATGATCTTCTGGTTCATGTGTGTCAAAATCAATTTTATTTGTGCCATTTCTGATGCTATCCTGTTGGAGTATTGAGTTACATTAAAGGATATAGTATTTGTCAACCCATAAAAAAGTTTCATTTTTTTAGAGAGGAGAATCTTATTTTGGAACAATCCTATAAAGAAGTTAGAAACTTTATTTTGATAGAGGAAGTATCGTTTTTTGTTTCTCTAATAAATTGTCTCACTTCATTATTTACATGTCAATTTGTTTTCTTTACTTATTTTCGTTACTCATTTGTTAAAAATAATATAATCATGTCACTTTTTATTTTAGAAATTTTATTATTAACGCCTTTCGTCCCGCAATAGTATTCCATACTTGACCGGACACGAAGATTTAAAAAAATAAATTTTGTAGTTGGAAATAATGGAAAGAAGGGAAAAAAACCGAAATAGGACTAAAACTTATCAAATATACCTAAATAGGACTCCAAAACTTAAATCCCCCAAATAGGACTTAATTTTCGTCGTCATCCCAAAAATACCCTCCCTCTAATCTACACCGCCTTCTAAATCCTGCCCTAAAGCATTTACCATAAAAACACACAGAAATCTAACGCGGCTAATACGATTATGGTCCGATAGAGCACGAGCAGAAGAAGAGTGTGAAGAAAATGGCGGACGATGATTTTGAAGACCAGAGGCCGAAGACATTGACAGAATCAAAGAAGAAAAAGGTATGTGTTGACTCGAAATGCGCTGAAAAGCAATTTGGAAATCAAAGCTGGGTTGATTTTTGATAAGATTTGTCATAAGGAGAAAGTTTTGAGTAGAATTTCACATGCATTTGGAAATCAAAGCTGTATTTTGTATTTTAGATGAATTTCTTAACCCTAGNTCTCATCATTTGTCTTGTGGACATGTTGGATTTAAATGCATAACAAAAAAATAAAAATATTCAATGGTTAATATGCAATTAAAAAAATTCATGATAGTCCAGTAAAGTATGTAATGTGGATATTACCAGTGTCATAATCTGTAATGTGGTGATGAATATTACGAACCATTGTAATGTAAAGTGTCATAGTATGTAATGTGGTAATGTGTATTACAAAGAGTTGTAATGTAAACGGGGCAGGATTGTGAAGTGTGACGCGGAAAGAAAAAGGAGGGCAAAATCGGGAGAGAAAGAAAGAATATGGCGGGAGAGGTCCTAGTTGGGAGATAAAAACATGAACTCCTATTTTAGGGATAAACACAATGTTTTAGTCCTATTAGGAGTGATTTCTATGGAAAGAAAATAATAATATCCAACCAAATTTTTCCTAAAGTATAAAGTGAAACTTTTTTTTAGCAACTTACGGAGTACAAGACAAAGAGTAAATTTTATTTTAAAATTTTATACCATTTTTAAATAAAACTAAATTAAAAACAAACTTAATTAACCTTCTTCATAGAGAAGGATATACTACTTCCTTTCCAGTGTATTTGTTCATTTTTGAACTTTTTCAATTAAAATTTAAAAAATATCGACCATAAATTAAATAAATAAAATTGATATTAAATATTAATATAAATATATTTTTCTTACATTTATCTCATAAAATATTTTTAAAATATTTTTATCTAACTGATATACTATATAATTTTTATTTAACAATAGATGATTATAATAAAAAGTTAAATTTAAATAAATATTCTAGAAATATTTAATTTGGAACGGATGGACCATGGAGTACATATAGGTAGAACTACATTGATTCCGAGGTTCAAGAGATTGTAGAAATTCAATAGCCCAACAAAGAGCCCCAATGCTTTTGAGGTCCAATACAGACCATTTCGATCAAATCCATATTCTCGACCATTTCCTCCCTTTTCCTAAACTGCAAATCCCACCTGAACAGCCATAGCCTTCCTCCTGATCTATGATTAGATCGTCATGCTCTCTTCTCTACCCGCACTTGTTTCCTCATACAGAAGCTTCATCATCCAAGCGGCGTTCGCTTCCTCCCTCGCTCTCCTCCTCCACTTCTTCAGCATCTTCGATCTGTTTCTCAATGGCCTCTTCACATATGTCCACCCAGACGACGTCAATCCCTCTTCTTCTTCTTCTTCAAATGGTGTCCGGGCTGCGATTCGGCGCCCTGGCAGTGTTGATTCCGAACTCAAGCCCAGGAAAAAGCCCAAGCAGAATTTCGAATTCGACGAGAATAAAGCTCAGATCTTTCGGCTGAAGCTCATAGGCTCCCACCTCCAAACAAGAATTTATTTCAGTGAGTTCAAGGGTGCTTTCAATTCCACTTTTGTTGCTCTTTCCTGCTTCTTGCTGTCCCGGGTTTCCCCGGAATTCGGAAATTCCTGGGTTTTAGGAAATGGATCTGTGGTTCCTGTTTTGTTAGGATGTTTTGCATTGTGTAGGGTGTTTTTGTTATTGGCTAGGACTGCTTTTGAGAGGTCTGCTTCCAAGAGTGTAGAGAAGCAATTGAGTTTTCTGATTGGGTTTTTCGGGTTTGTGCTGGGGCTGATCATAGTGTATGGTGTTGTTCCTAAATGGATTCTTGATTTTGGTTTTGGATCATTGGATGGTTTAGGGAAGCTCCTTACTTCCCTGTTCATGGGCTGCCTTTCCGGCCTCCTTTATACCCCTGCATCAAGGACTGCCCGGTCATTTTGGCTCGGAACCGACCAGACTCGTTGCAATTTGTCAATAATCTCTTGTGGGTGGTTTGCAAGAATGCTTCTTTACACTAACTATCTGTTGGTCCTCTTTGCTTCATTGCTTTGGATTAGTCCCTTTTCGGAGCTACTCGTGAACAAGAATCTTGATCATGAGAAAGCCCAGTCTGCTTCAACCAAGCTGGTTGGGAATGTGGGCATGTCTACATCAGAGTTTGATAGATTTCGTCATTGGTGTTTATTCGCTGCGGGTATTCTTCAGATTGCGACTCTTCGTTCAAACCTCCAAATGTACTTGAACGAAGCAGTTCTATGCTGGTACCAGAGACTGCATTGCAGCAAAGTCCCTGAGTTGGATTACAGCAGGGCCAAAGTTTTCCTTCACAACCATCATCTATGTCTTGTGGCTTTGCAGTTTTTCGTGCCTGCTTCTATGGTGCTTCTCTTCAATGCTTTGTCTGAGATCGGCGCGGATGAGCTGACCGCGGGTTTCCCATGGATTAGTAGCCTGTTGCCTTGCTCTTTGTTGGATAAAGAAGTGCCCTTGTTTATGGCTTGGTGGGTTGTCTTTGTCTGCGCCGCTGTGAATTCAACAGTTCTGGCTTTGTATCGGCATGGAATCTTGTATGTTTCTTGATGTTTTGGGTGTTTTGAGATATATATGTATTCCAGTTGTAACAATTTTTTTTTTTTTTTTT